CACCAGCCCAGAGCTTGCCGCGGAGCACGGACGATTGTGTCCTTGACCATGCATATGTGATGAAGAAGACGATACTTTCATCGACATTGGGCACCAAGGTAGTTACCTTCTTGCCCCTGCTGACCTCGACTTGGAGTACAAACCCAACATGCTCGATGCCTCTTAGCTTGCCGTCTTTGTAGGTAAGCGTCATGTCAATAGATCGCGGTTTGATACCACTGAGAAAGGAACCAGCTGCCTCTGTCCAGGACTTGCATTCAAATCCTTTGATCCCCAGTGTCTGCACAGCCCAATCGACCAGCGCCTCGTACGTGCCTCCATTCGGCTGAGGTTCCTTTTGGAGCCGCATCCTGACGTCGTCAGATGTGAACTCAACCTGCGCTGCGAATGTTGCTCCGCAAAGTATGAGCTTGATGCGGAATATGAGTGCGCCAGCCGAACCGATGTTATCCTTCTTGGCGTTGTACGACAAGGAGGCATCACGTCGAGCGATGACAGTGATCTCTTGCACATCAAACCTTTTGGCATCAGCGTCAAGCCATTCCTTGAACGGAGCATATTTGTCCTTGGGTACTGTGAATTCAAGGCGCGTGCTTGTGTTATGAGCAGTGCCAGCCTCAAACCAGATGATGTTGCGTGTGGTGTCGCCGGTAGTCATTATCAATGGGACATCGCGCAAGAGGTCGATGATGCTGCCATGTCTGAAATTGACGTGATCGGATACTTCGCCGAGCGTCCAGCTGCTTGCGACTGGCTCCGTGACGGCGAAGGGAAGACTCTCGTCATGGTCAACATAGTTGCGAGGGCCGGATTGTCGACACCGAGCGCAACGGCGGCGCCCTTACTTTTCATAATAAACTTTCGTTCTTTGCCTCCAGCATTCCAAGCAGCCTCCATCTCGTAGTCGCCAAACTCCTTGGTCGTAGGCGGCCACGAGGCAAATGTCACCTTAAGCACGGCAGCCGATGCACCAAGAATACGCCTCAGCCAGGCCTGCCACTCATCGTCCGCGGTGAACTTGACTTCCTTCCCAGGCTCTGGTCGGTTCTGCAGCTTGATCTGCTGGGAGGCTGAGAATAGGAGAAATGGGTACAGGCAGCTTTCTCTGCTGATGACGGTGACGTTGTCCCCGCCGCCTCCTCTTTCTGCAAGCTTTGATCCCTCGGGCACTATGAGATGGGGCTCTTCGACGAGATCCCAGGAAGCATCTGAGCCACAGCTAAGTCGCCTGTCGCAGAAAGAAACGGTCGAACATCCTAGTGAATGGTGTTCTGATGATTCAAAGTGAAAGTCCCATGCGTTGGAGATGACCATTGGTGGGAAAAGCTTATACTTATTCTCCGACCTGGTGCGCCAGGGTTCATTTACGGCGTCGCTGTCAATGTGGATGTATTGTAAGCCGCCCAGGTCATAATCGCCCTCCAAGTTATGGATGTTGCCGATGAGTTCTGGCAGCAGAATCGAGCGGATGTTTCCAAAAATCCAATCTCGCCTCTGCGTATCTGTCTGATCCTTCAATGTGAGCAAGACATGGGCAAGTGACGGAGCCATGCGGTCCATGTTCAAAGAGACCCTTAGCTGATCCATCGCCTCCCAGTTGTCACCCATGGCCTTGAAGACGTCTTCCACCAAATCGAGGCTTGCTGGCTTGTTCGTGACGGCGCCTGACTTGAGATAAAAGGGATATTGTGTGAGATACAACGGAAATTTGGCTTTCAATACGAACGATATGTTGTACAGGTACCAAGAGAACATGTCGTGAAGTACCTCCCAACCTTCAGTATAGATTCATTAGCCTCAGTGAGCGTGTTGAATCGGATAGACTATAACTTACGTGGGTGTCCGTAGCTTTTGTGATCACCAGCCGAAATGACGACACGGTACGGTTTGAGGCGCGCCCATGACGATCTTGGATTCGACGAACTTGCGCCGTGATGCGACATCTTAGCGACCATGACACTCTTGTTATCACCCGACTTGTAATTCATCCATTGAACGATGGCCTCTTCAAGCTCCGAGTTAGCATCGCCCGCCAGGTAGTGCGTAACGCGGCGAGAGTCATCGTTCCAAATGACCAGATTGCAGATGGAGGTTTTGTTCTTGTATGTCAATTGTGGAAGCACCGTTTTCCCGAGGACGCGGCAATTGACGGCGACGCAGTAAAATCCTGGAACAGGCCCGACAGCGGTCTCCCCGTCGTATAATTTTGGGGTCTCGGGCGGCACACGCTCCATGAGCTGCGCCATGTCGACGGACTCGATCCTTTCCATGGCTGTTGCGATAGGGTCACTATGCGAGAAGAAGTTTCGACCGATGAGGTTTGCGGCGCCAATGCGCACCCTGAGTAAGTTCGGCGCCCACACATCCGTCTTGTCGATGCGAACCTCCATAGTTGGATTATCACCGAGTTCCGGTCCGGCGAGGCTGTCGCCCGTCGTTCTGAACATCTTCTCCCACTTCGTCGACCACTTATTGCCATCCCCTGTGATCTTCTCGTGGTATTTGTTGGCCCGCCATGTCGGGGCATAGAAAAAGGTCACTGGCGTGAAGACACCTGGCGGATCTTCTAAGTACCTGGCTCTCTGCAAACGCATGTTTTCAAGAGGAACTCCTATGTTGTTCTGCCGTCGGATATCGCGCCAGAGCGTCCACATTACGCCGTCAGCATGGTCAGAGTCCCAGTGTGACACGACAATCGCATCAAACTGTAGCAGATTTCTCTTCTTGCTTGTGCCTCCTACTGCAGGACCCCGGCATACGAATGTGTCTTCGATGGTCTCGAAGGTCCTGGCAATGTTGTCGTGCGGCTCAGCAACCTTGAAGTTGGAGCCAATGGCCGGGCCGCTCTCATCTTCGTCGTCATCATCGGGATCTATAATCTCCTCTGCTGCCCAGTCCCGGCCGCCGTCGAGAAGAATCGCGCGCTCAACGCGTTTCGGTGTGTCAGGGCCCTGATGTGAGTAAAGAATGTGTATAGACGAGTCACCGATATTGATGCTCAGGAAGAAGGAGGCAACGCTGAAGATGCGTTCGCCCATGATCGAATTGCTGACGATACGCGGCGAGAGTGACGTAGGTATAGCCTTTTTCTTGAAGAAGTGGTGAAGGAATCAACGAAGCTCTCCACGACTCGAGTCTGAAAGTCATTGCCAAGGCAGTACGCTGAGGGTCGATTGAGTCAGCTAGATAACTTGAGCCATTCAGGGCATTTTACCAGGCGACGTCCATGTGAAAGTCAAATGGTGTTCCGTTCCTCAGCTCAAGTCGTCACCCACACCCTGCTTGAACCCTGTCTCGAACCAGCTGCATTCTCCCGACGCCCTGACCTGATGGTGGGGAGAAAAGGGGCAGGGGGTTCAAACCCCTTTGGGCAACGTGACCCGACGGGGGTGTTGGTGTTGCTGCAGGTGAGTAGGCTGCTATCATGGACACTGAAACCCTGGACCTGGAGCCCTGGACGCATACTCACCCCTGAAGAATAGAGATACATGTAGCACGACTTGAGGATACCTCGCAGCTTCCAAAAGTCAAAAGACAGACTGATCGAGCTCCAGCTCCAAATGCGGGGTATGCTAACAAGGCAGGCGGCTCGGACCGGCCGGCCTCGACTCCAGGGGCCGGAACCCCTTTTGAAGGCGTTATTCTGCCCAGCCACGCTCAGCCGCCGGGACTATTGAGCTCATGTCTCACTATCCGATGCATGACGGTATTTTGAAAAGCCATTGGTGGGGCCAACGGCAAAGAAACTTCCTGCTACCATTTGGTCGTCCATTCTCTCGTATCTTGTCCCATACTATGTGCTATCGGCTTCGAGCCTACCGGTTTTGGTAAAAGAATACTCGACCATTTCCTCTGAACCTTGTAGGATTTCTGAGCATGCACGGGGATATTTCCCACAATATTAGTTTTCTTGGATGGAAAGGAAACTGTAACATTGCTTGGGCTCAAATATGAGATGGACGAATGCAATCGGGAGTCATGACCAAAGCAACGGTTATGGGTTTCTAAATGTGCATGCGATTCATAACTTCGACTTAGCCTTCACTACGAAAGTTCCCTGGAGTTCAATCTCGACATCCCCATACCGTTGAAGTGCCTCTAACACAGACCCCATCCCAGCCGCCTTGACCATTGCCCGGTCTAGATTTCTGTCATCCACATCCAGTCACTTGGTTCGCCAGGTCTCGTGCATGGGGCTGATCTTGGAGCCTGACTTGACGCCGAAGACAATGTTGCGCGACTCCTTGTAGTCGAGGAATACTGACAGCTGGGAGACTGCCGAGACAGTCTGGTCACCTTCTACTGTCGACGGTTTCTCATCCGTCGAGTTGAAGTAGAGTTCGGCCCCGGAAATCGAGTTGGCACTCTGCAAGAGGTTGTCTTCATTGACAAAGTAGATGTAGATGCGCGCGGGGCGGCCCGTCGCCTCATCGGCGGGCACGATGCATGCCGTGAGGGGCGTGCCCTTCCTAGCTCGGTATTTGGACTCGCTAATGATACAATCTATTGGGCGACGCTCATCAGCATGTTCTCAGTCACGAGGAGTTCGAGCCACAAGATGGGAAAAAAAAGGCACTCACCCTTCTTATTCTTAAAGCTCCACAGAGAAATACTGTTATCATCTCGCTGATACACCAGCCACTTGAGTTTAAGCACGGGGTCAAACAGCGCAAATAGGTTGGTCTTCTCGTAAAAAGCCGACGCGGCGATTGGACGCTTGTCGTCATCCTTGTCGGACAGCTTCCATTCGTGAAGCTGAGACTTGCCCTGCTCATTATCACTTGGTCATGTTAGTACTGTTGACCGGTACAGTGAACAAAATCTTAGTCACTCACGAAAGCATGTAGAGATAGCCTTCACCGTCATCTGCTACGCATCCCGCTAGCGAGCCGTATGTCGGCTTGATGTTGGTATCTGGCTGATACACGGGGCTCAGCTGTGCGACCTCTAGGTCTTCTTTTTCAGTGCCAGTGATACCATACACTGCAACCTGGGCGACTGTCAGTTACTGCCTCGAATGATTTCACGAAAAGTTCTCACCGCGTCTTTGTAGATCATGGCGGTTAGCTGAGAAGGATAGGCAAGCAGAGGCGATTGGGTCGAGGTGCCCTCGCCCATGGTAAAGGAGAAGTCGCCACCAATAGTACGATTCTCGAGACTAAGCATGTAATGCTTGTTACTCGAGAAGATCATAACCTTGTCATGATTGACCGACAAGGGGTTGACAATGGTCGCAATGGCCGTCATCTTGCCGCGGGGAGTGGGCTGGGTAGTCTCAGGCATCGGGGCGGCTTGTGTGGAGTGCGTGAAGTATCGTCAAAGGAGTTGGGAGAAACTTAGAATGGACGTGAACATGAGCTGATTCTGATTATCGTTCAATTTCCACTCAGGTCCCGAGCTTGAACTTAAGTACCATGCTCGGCTATCATTATAACCCCGTCCGAGTCCGCTCCTCGTGACACTTGTTGACCACTCATTACGAGGCGTTGTTACCTCCAATGGATTGGTACAGCTGAACTAAGTGAAGATGGTCGCCTGGACCTGTACGTGAGCTCTGACGCAAATGTGACATGCGCTCCGTCCCCAATACCTGCTTAGCTTGAGTAGCCTTACACGCCTGGATCCTGCAGGAGGCGGAATAAGTTCTGCAGCCGAGACAAGTGCATGGGCTATTCCTTCCAGCTCCCAGCATCAAGCCACAAGATCGCACATGGTTGCTAGGGGTTCAAAGACAGGTCTGAGAAGAGCACCAAGCAGACACCCCCCCCCCAATCCTTGTAAGACACTTATTGGCGTGCGGGGCAGGATCGGCACTATAAGCCATGCGGACTCAGCTGAAGAGCAGCAATATTGGGGCGATCTAGACCGAACAGTATCACTGCCAGCGGAGGAATGTGAAGCTCAAGGGGTCCCACCCGTCTGTCCAACAAACTTGCGTTGAAGTCTCGATACATCACATGGTACAGGTGGTTGCCACGAACTCGAACGAAGATAATCCGACAAACCTTGACACGGAGAGAGGATCGGAGTGAGATATCAAAATTCATCAAGTCAAGTAAATTGCGAAGGCCATACAAGCCCACACGCGAACTATCACCACCCCCGTCAACACCATGGCGACTCCTGTAGACAACCAGACTGTTCTGATCCCTGTCAAAGTCGACGCCTTCGTCTTCAATTCAAAGGTCTGCGATGGCATCCCTCCTGAACCTGCAGGCACTGGAGAGGGCAACGAACCAACCGAGACACGGCTTCCAATCCCGACAGCGGCCAAGATCGCGCCAATAACCCAGCCCAACTACACATTTTTGCGGCTGGACCGCGATTATATCCAGCCTGATATCCAGAATCCGGTTGACCTGAATAACTCATGGCCGTCGGGCTTCAATTCACGTTTCACTGATCTTGGGAGCGACACGACGCGAAAGCGCCGTGTCGGTGTCTATTTACACTGGACTATGCCACGGCTTTACCGCAGCGGTATTGCAGCGGCTGGCCCCGAAGTCGCAAAAGGAGCGGATTTCCGAGATGCCCGGGCTGCACGGGGCCTCGATGATCTCGAAGTCGAAAATGACAACGGCAACAAGAATGATGACCAGAAAAACAACCGCGGTGCGCCTGGGACCGCCAAGGGCTCGTCGCCCTCATTTCCTAAAGCACCGACGCGATGGCTCGTCATCCGGCACATCAGCGATCCGTCATCGATTATGCCGCCTAAGGCTCGAGGAATCGTCAAGGAGTTTACCGCATGGGTTGTTGAGAGCGACCGGCTCCGCACTCTCGAAGAACTCGGACCTGAGGAGGACCTGCAAGTCGATGTGTCGCCCTTCATTAGCGCCGCCGACGGAGGCGTATCAGTGCAGACCAGGCTGAGTTTCATTGGGAAAAAGGAGCCTATCGAATCG